GCGAAGTTGCAAACTGATGAGGGATCTCTGTCAAAGTGCGATGGTGAGTTCTCTCTCTCTCTCTCATATGTGAAGTTGCGAACTGATGAGGGATCTCTATCAAAGTGCGACGATGAGTTCTCTCTCTCTCTCTGTGAAATTTATTAGCTCGGGCTTCGAGCTCGGGTTCGGGCTTCGGGCTTTTTATCGGCCCGGGCTCGGGCCCAAGTTATAGACCCGTAGGTCGGGTCAAGCTTAGGCTCGGGCCTAACATATTTTCATTAATGGGGACTAAAAGCCCGGCCCAGCCCGACCCATGAACAGGTCTAATCGTCAATGCCCACCACCGGCTCTCTCTCTTTTTCTTACCTTGTTCTTTTCATCTTCTTCTACCATAGACATTACATTACTACAGTATTAATGCAAATGTTACACATCCGGCGGCAAAACCACGAACCAGGTATTCTCTTAGCAACAAAATAGGTCAATGTTATGATTGTTTATGTTTTCTATATTAAAATAAGAAAACTATTTTCATGTACTTGAATTCCACTTCACATATTCTGGATTTATAGCATTTCAAAATTCAAACCCAAGTCATTCATCCAAACCAAAAGCCTGCTCTCGGAGATTTTCCTTCTCAACTCTACAAGTTAAAAAAAAAAAAAAAACTTTATACCATGGCCATTGCTATTATGCACACGCCATCAGTCATCTAATTCTGGGTTTAAACCAATAACCAAAAGGTCATGCTTCCTTAGTGTTATACACCAAAATTGCTGCATCTAGTATAGCAAAACTTCCAATGGATCTTAAATCATCTACCCTAATGGACTTTCAAAGAATTAGCAAAACTTTTTCTAGTCCCCTTCATTTGAGCAACAACTTGAAGAAACATGCAAGTTAGCCTGAAAATGACAACGACAAAGAGGTTAGTTCATACAGGAAGTAGGCATCATTAGTATGGCATTCTCATGGTATAATGCCTTACTTGATATGAACTTACCTTAAACCCACCCTCCTTTGCCAGGCAAAAACAATGAGCAATTACAACTACAGTGTTTCCTCTAGTAGAGTCATGAGCAACTTCTTCACAGGTCCTTTGAACCCCTACTTCCAATCAAGTACAACCATAGAAAGCATTTGCCAAAAATAAAGTCCAGGGCAATATCTGACCCCTTGATAAATTAAAGATCATGAAGGACATCAACTAAAGATCACTTTTATTAGTCCAACAACCTTGTGAAACATTTATAAAGTTAACTTGGGTTTACAGTTATAGTTTGTTGCATGTGGCTTGATAAGTGAAGCTCTTAGAAGGAAATTCAATTTGCATTGAAGTTATTGGAAATTGGAACTTCCTCTACATACTCTTACTTAAAAAAATGACAACTTGAAAAGAGCCTCCTCTATTCCAAATTCTGGCATACTCTTCCCATACAATATGGTAAAAAGTAACCATTAAATGGGTGCAAATAAATTAAGACCTTTAATGATTTAAGGATCATAACCATCATTTTTAGCCTTTTCTTCCATTTGAGGTATTAAATAACAGGATTTCTGGGTTGTTTTGACTTTTTGTGCTTCTATGGTGCACTTAAGACATGATCTGGTAAAGAGACATCTGTTTATTTCAAGCTTTTAGAGAGAGATAACATTTATATGTTTGGGTATTTTAGGTCTCCCTTAACGACTAACAGAAAACCCCCAAAACCCTAATATGAATAAAGTAATAAAATATTATTAAATTAATAATAAAATTAATAAAATTATTAATATAATAATTATTAAACACTAGTTAAGAAATTTATTGTTTTATGTTTTATGTTTTATTCTTTAACCTCAATCTATTAAAGATTGAATCCAATTCGGATATCCGATTTTCCTTAACGGATTCAAATTTGAACGTCGTATGTTAGATCTGATTGGATCTTCAAATTGGATCGGATCCGAATATGCCTTGTATATAATAGACATGTAGTGTAGAATGGCTATCGTTTCTCACTACCATTTATTTATTTGGTTTCCTTAAAACTCTAAATAAAAGTGTTTCAATTTCACTTAAAAATCAAACTTAATGAAACTAATAAAAATAAGAAATTTAAACACTAATGAAAAAATTTGTTAGTTTATGTTTTACTAGCAAGGTCCTTGCAATGCACGGAATTTGTTAATGATAATTAGCCTAGCAATTGGGTTGGGTGGGTTGGGTTCGGGTTGGGTCAAGACACTTCGGGTTGATTTCGAGTTGGGTTGAATTTTGGGTTGGGTTGCCAAATGCTAGACCCTAACTCTAAATGTTCGGGTTAGGGTTGACCTATGGGTCAATTCGGGTTATCCCAACAAAAATAAAGATTAAATACATGAAAAATGCCAAAATTAAAGGAATTAACCTTAAAATTCCAAATATAAAATAATAAAACTTGAACATTTAACAATTCAAAGAGTAAACAATAATGAGTAAAGGCTAAATAGTAAGAATTAAAGAGTTGAAACTTCTATGTTAATACACTATCAAAACCTGGCTTGAGATCTTTTATGTTTTTTATTCATTATGCTACACAATGGGGATAGCTCAACCCCCGTAATTCCTTCAGGTTCAATATTAATAATTTTTATTTAAAAATGGTTAAAAACCCAAAAATAATGCATGCATGGATTATTCTTAGGTTTAATTTAATCTAATTACAAATTTCACATTACTCTTAGGGGTGCAACTTAAGGGGTTGGGTCAGGTTGAGGATCAACCGAAGCCTAACCTAAAGTCTTAAACCTTGGTTTTGGGCTTAGATTAATTTAATTATGACTAAAAATAATCTATGGATTAATTTAATTATAACGTTTAATTATTAACGAAGTAAAATAAATAAAATAGAATACTAACGAATAATATGAAAAAAAAATTATTTGTTAAGTAATTAGTAGTAATTTATTATTTATGTTAAAAACTATTAATTTAATTAATCTAAATTACTAAATTATTTTTTAACAAATTATTAAAATACTAATATAATTATCAGTTTCCATTGTTTCACTTTGCCTTGATAAATCCCGTGCATCGCACGGGTCCCCGCTAGTTGCTATACAAATCTACTACAATAAGAGAATCAGAAGAGAGGATTCTCCGATGCTCAAGTGAGCGAAAAACAATTGGAAGTAAAGTGTCCATTACTTTGGGTTAAGTGCCTTTGTATAGAATAGGAATCCTGGTCAAAAGACTACTAGGGTTTCCTTGTTTCAACTCCATTTACAAATTGATCAAACCATCTTGAATTAGAGTTTCCTCTTTTCCATTCTTTCTTTATTGATGATTTCTCCATCTTGCCCCTTATTAGGGCCACGCCATATGTCACTAAGGCTATGCTTGGTTTGAAGGAAAAAGTAGGAAAATGAAGGGAAAGATAGAAAAACTTATACAAGGCTTGGAAAGGTTTCCTTGCCTTTCCCTTCCTTTCCCTACCTTTTCCTTCAAACCAAACATAGCCTAAGGACGAGTATTCAGTTTGCTCAATTAAAAACCAAATTGAATAAATTGAAATTTTAAAAACCAAACCAAAACTGCATTACAGAAAAGTCAAAATAACTGAACCAAAATATTTTGTGCTATTTTCGATTAAAATCAAATTTTAAAAATATATATACTATATTATATGTATTATAACATGTAATATATAATATGAAATTGTCATTGACACTTTACTGGTAGAACTTTAGCCTAAAAATATATATTATATATTATATAACAAAGTTTGGTTAATTCAGTTAAATAAATCAAACCAAAACCTAATGGAAGGATGGAATGATGCCGTATCAATGGAGTCTGAATCTCCTGCCCTCAGAAACTCTGCTCACATTTATCTACATAACATTTTAGTTAGACCTGTTCATGGGTCGGGTGGCCCGACGGGCCAGCCCGGCCTCTGGACGGGCTTGAACAGGTATATGGGCCCGTGGGCTTAATCTCGGGCCAAAAAGCCCAGCCCGCAATAAATTCGAGTCGGGCTCGGGATTTGCCAAAATAGCTCGACCCGAGGCTGGTCAGCCCGACCTATAATTAAACCTAAAAACCCTAGTTGAATACCCCTCTTTTTTTTTTCACCTCTTTTCCTTATTTTTCCAGCCGAACCCTTCTTCTCCACATCCTTTTTCCCTTCTTTATATTCTTTTTTTTAATGTAAATAAATTTTGAATTTATATTCTTTTTCTAATGTAAATAAATTTTAATTTATATTGATTATTGAATAGGGAAAATTTCTATTTTTTTTTATTAGGTCGGGCTTCGGGCTCGGGCTCAGGCTTTTTATCAGGGCCGAGCTGGGGCTCAAGTTGTAGGCCCATTGGTCGGGCCGGGCTCGGGCTTGGGCCTAACATATTTCTATTAATGAAGAGTAAAAGCCCGGCCCGAGCTTAGCCCGAGCCTGGCCCGGCCCGGCCCATGAACAGATCTAATTGCAGCCATACATGCATCTCATTCTCCTACATAGTATTATGATGTTCCCAATTCACGGGGTAGTGTGTTGTGGGTAGACGTGGACAGGAGATGGAGAACGGGAGAAAATTGCCATTCCTAATTTTATTCATGTAGACCAGTTTTTCAGAACTCCGGTTCACGTCAAATGACGTGGCATATCATGATTGACCTTGCATCGTTCGGTTCCCGTGGAAGGTTCTGACACCCATGTGATAGAGCACAACGCCAACTCTTCAAGCATGATGGATCATTGATCTACGGTAATGGGACCATTTTGAACACAGTACTCACTTTGGGTGTCTCTCTCTTTTTCTTTCTATGGTCCCGGCTCACATAGTAAACCGATCATGGCGTGCCACGTCATCATTTTATGTGGCCCCAGAACACCCATCCCAAAGGTGTAGTCAAATCGTCAAAGAGAATGCCCATTCATCTGCTGCCAGGTGTCTGGTCAGTCGGATAAATGTAGTCAACTCTTTGACTGCATGTTCACCGGTTTATATCAGATGTACCTGCCTGCCAATTAGTTATTACCGATTTCTCTCTCTCTTGTTCTGTATTATTCAATTCTAGCTTCTCATGAAAAGATTCCTCCTTTTTCATTCTCAGGAAGAAGAGACCCCATAAATTATAGAAGCAGGGGAAAGAAAATATTAGAAAACCCCCAGAACACCCATCACCTCCTTGCATTCGTATCTTAGATCTCCTTCATCGTCTCCAACTCTCCATTATATATTCCTTCACCTCTTCTTCTTTCTGGTCTTAATTTCTTCCTTCTTTCTTCATGGCTGCAGAGTTAAATTCCGACTCCACTAACAATCTCAGTATCATCGTCGAACGGAATCCATCAGATTCACGCTTAGCTGAATTGGGTATCAAGTCATGGCCTAAGTAAGTCTTCTCCTCCTCCTCCTTCTTCTTCTTTTAAACAACGTAGATTTTCTATTTCCTGGTAGTGTTGTGTTTGGTTGTTCTCATGCCCATCTTCTTCTTCTTCTTCTTCTTCTTCTTCTTCTTCTTCTTCTTCTGGTGTAGATGGGGATGCCCACCAGGAAAGTTTCCACTGAAATTTGATGCAAGAGAGACCTGTTATTTACTGAAAGGAAAAGTGAGAGCATACACAAAAGGATCGTCTGAGTACGTGGAGTTTGGCGCTGGAGATCTTGTGATCATACCCAAGGGATTAAGTTGCACCTGGGACGTAACAGTTTCCGTTGATAAGCACTATCAATTTGATTCGTCCTCCTCTACTTCTACTTAGTAATTTGACAATTTCCTCCATCCCCAGATCATACACAGTCTAGTTCTCTTCCTCCCCTCAATTTCCTTCTTTATTTAATCTCAACTAGTTGTCTTGTTTGAGCTCATGTTAATATTCTATCAACTTACAAAGCTGGTAATGCTTTGGATGCCATAGTCAAAGAAAGGAAATACAAATAATCAGTCAGTCAATGTTCATCGCATTCAAAGTAATCTTATTTAATTTCTTTTAATGAATGAATGAATGAGCTTTTAAATGTTCCCTTTGACCAGTTGGATAAGGATAGATTTTTATCCTACAGAAATTAAACCATCTCTTTTTTTAATATTTCTTTCACTGTTCTTGCCCACTTTAATTTCTAGGGTTTACTTTCCCAGTAATGGTGAAACCATGTGGGCCCTTCATATCAACATGGATGGTCTAGATTGATTTGGTGGGTAGTTAGCATATGGGCCATGGTTGATGCATATGTTGCAGAGTGGGGAATATATCATTCCCAGATTTGTATCAGGGTCACTTTCCTTTTGGTAAAAGGATGTTTTACTTATTTTGATAGAATTGTCCTGCTACCCACAAGTTGTTCCCACACCCTACCCCACTGGACACAACATAAAATATCTCCCTTTTCAGTCATTGGGATTTGGGAGATGTTCCCGTGGTGGTTGGGATGTGGGAACATTTGTAGGTAGCAGATCCGGAGTGGAAATTTGTAAGGTTCAGGGTTTGTCCATTTGTGTTTGGTCGGCTGGATGCGCCTATGCCTGCTATTGGCCTGGTCACAAACAACTCCTTAATAATTAATTTCTTTGCATCCAAACAGAACTTCATGACTCAATTTCATTTTTTAATTTTAAATTTTAATTAAATATTACACTTTTGTATGATCACCATTCTTTTTCAAGTTTGAGGAGGTTCATGAACTTAGCAAACATCATGTCTTTTAATTTTAACCACAACTAGTGGGAAGACAAATTAAGGACATGTTTGTTTGACAACTAAATGTGTTTGTATTGGTTTGCTGCAAGCAACATGAGTAGAAAATTTGCAACTACTAAGATGGTTTTTGGTACTCTGGTATTTCTTTACTTTGGAATTTAAGCATAATTAGCAATAAAGAAGGATCCAATGTGCTGACCAGCAGGGAGTTTAAGTGTTCTAGCTTTTTTTTTTAGTTTAAATTATTTAAACCACCACTGTATTTTCTGATAAATGCTTTAAACCTCCCCCTGTAATTTGACCTCTCCAAATTCTTCCCTCAACATTTTTGAGAAATTATACAAACAGTTCCATTAGCTGGACAATTAAGAAGCCAATTGAAATGATGATGTCTTGCTTTGAAGTGTCTTTCGGCAGAAATACCCCCATCCAAAGTCCAAACAGGCTCTTTTAGAATTATTTATTTGTTACATTAAAAAAGATGACATCATCATTTCTAATTAAGTTCTTAGAATTAAAAGTACAAGGGAGAATTTTGGAGGGGTAAAACACGACTCCGGATCTCCTACCCACAAAATACTACACCCATGAGTTAGGAACTTGGGATCTTCTGCCGGGTGATCCAGACTCCCCTATATGGGGATGTGATGTCATGTGAGTAAGTGTGGATATAGCTCTTGTGGGTAGGAAATTCAAGCTCGTAAAACGCACGGGAGGTTTAAATAATTTACCTTGAATATATATATATATATATATATATATAAAGCAAGACGGTCCACATCATTATGCCTCTCCTTGTTCCATTACTCCCATCCGTCATTCTCCTTGATTCTTTCTCTTCTTCCCTTTCCATCACTCCCATTAAGCCATATCACCATTCCCAACCCAACTATCTAAAAATATTCTAAAAATCTCTGTCCTAAAGTATCTCCTCTAAGCCATTAGGAACATGTTAACCCACTCCCCAATCAATTTCTAAAATAATATTGTAAATAACTAATTTCACTTATATCAATTAATAATTATAGAAAATACCTTTCAAAAAAATAAAATTTATTAGTAATAATTTTACAATAATAGTGTCCATTCATTATATATACTAAAATTAATAATTATTTTATTTTTAGTAATTATTTATTGAATTTTAGATAAATATGTTTTCAATAATTATATATTGGAGATTAAACAACTATTATTTAACTTTTGGAATTTAATTTTTCGTATTTATTGTATTTTTGTTATAAATTTATTTTTGGTAATTATGTATTTTTATAATTTATTTATTAATATTTTTTAGAGACTAAACTATTATTTGAGATTACATTATTTATTCACTAATTTAATATGTTTTCAGTATTTACTATATTTTTGTAATTATTGTATTTTTATTATAAATTTATTTTCAACAATTGTGTATTTTTGCTATAAATTTTTAATAATTATAGGAGATTAAAGTATTGTTATTTATTAGAGATTAGACTATTAATTTAGCTGACATTAGGAGTGTTCAAGTTCAAGGATTGGTTTGATTCGTTTGTAGGTTGTTCTGCTAACCAAATTGATCACCTGGCTAGGTCAGGAGTTTGTCACCCGAAACAATTGACCATTAGTAAAAACCTGCCAATTCGGGTTGTATTAGTTTGGGTCTATTTTCAGTTTGGTTTGTTTGTTCAAAAAGATTTAAACTTAAAAAATAAATTTAAATTTAATAAATTATAGTGGTATTATTAAAAAATTACATTTATGATATAAAATATTTTAGACTAAAAAATATGGGAATTTTTCACTTTTTTGTATTGAAAAATTATATTTAAAATATTAAATATTAATATATATGTATGGTTGGATCAATTAAGATTTGGCCAACTTACTAATGTCCAAATCAAAACTAACGTAAATTGGTCGAGTTGGAAAATTGCTTAACTAAAGCCAATCGGAAATACTAGAAAACCAATCAACTTTGGTCTAATTCGATCAAATTAGTTATTAAAAAGTTAAAATATAAAACAATTATACACTCCTACGTATTTCTATTGTTTAACTTTCACTTAACAAAGCCCGTGTATCGCATGGGTTGTATCAATCAGAATTCACACTTTCCCACCCCCCTAAAATCTCTTTCATGTTCTCAAGTCTCCAATCCAAGGAATTATGATAAAAGGATGGCTCTTTTTTAGTTTTATTTTTCAAAGTTCTAGAGAATAAATTTAAACGTGTGCCACTTCCCAATTTTTAAGCGTGAATCTCTCCATCTAAATTATATCACACCACATCCCTACAATCCCTCCCCTATCTATTGATTGCTTCTTTTTCTCTCCCATATATAATTGTTGTTTTAAATTGTTAAAAAACATTCATTAGAATTTTTATCAATCACGACACTTGGCAGATAACAATATAAACTATAAATTTATGGATTATTCAATGTAATAACTTAAATAGTATTTTACAATGTAAATAAAAGATTATATAAATGTTATTCAAATAATAAAAATTAAAATTAACAAATAAAATATTATTTAAATATTTTAAATAACAAAATATTTGATAGTGCATAATAACTTAAAAAGAAATAAAATTTAAATATTTTGTGTATTATTTGAATATTTAAATAATGAAATATTTAACATAACTAAATAAAGAAATTATGTAACAAACTTAAAAATTTTATTAAAAGTAGAAAATAATTATAATAGATTTCATAAAATTTGAATTAATAATAATTTTATAGCTTACAAAATTACGTAACAATAGTATAAATTCTAATTTTATCTATTATTAAATTAATAATTAATTAATATTTAAAAATAAATAAATAATGGTATTATTTAAATAATTAAATATTATAGTAAATATCTATTTTTAAATACTTTCAATATAAAAATATATATTTTTTCAAAAACAAAAAGTAGATTAAATAACAAAATTATGTTATAACTTTAAAAATTATCAAAAACATAAAAATAATTATAAAATATCTAGTAATATTTGATAATGAGAGTATACATATTAATAATTTAAAAAATAACTAACTTTAAATGTTTTAAATATCAAAAAATTTAATACAAAATCATATATTAAACATTATTTAAAAACAAAAAATATATTAAACAACAAAGTTATATAATAACTTTACAAAACTTATAAAAAATGCAACATTAATTATAATAGATTTAATAATATTTGATAATAAGAATATAAAATGTAAATAATTGAAAAAATTAATAAATAAATTAGAGGCATTGAAGCTTTTTTATTAGTTATTTATTATAAGAAAAATCTATGATGCAGGAAATACAAGGAATGGGAAGAGTTTTGACCAATCAAAACCCATCCATGAATTGTGATAAACAAACCTTGATTGAATACCATGTTTAAGATACCGGTTGATTGGTCAAAAATTTTTTAGATATTATATCTTTCCAATATCATAGTCAAGCCCTTTATTATATTTTCAGTAATTGTGTATTTTTGCTATAAGTTTTCAATAATTATTGGACATTAAACTATTGTTATTTGTTAGAGATTAAATTTTTAATTTAGTTGAAATTATGAGTGTAGGCGGTTCAATTCGGTTCCGATAACATAGTTGAACCCTATTATATTTTTGTTATAAATATATTTTCAGTAATTGTGTATTTTTGCTATAAACTTTCAATAATTATTGGAGATTAACTATTGTTATATGCTAGAGACTAAACTATTAATTTAGCTAAAATTAGGAGTGTTCACTAGGCAGTTCAATTTGGTTGCAGATTGTTTAGCCAGTCAAATTGATTTGGTCAGGTTTGGAGAGTTGGTCACTCGAAACTAACTGACTATTAGTGAAAACCATCCATCACTCGTCACTGAATCAATCGTCCAGGTTGAATGGGTTAGACTATTCCATGTCAACACTCAATATATTTAAATTTCACTTAATAAAGTACGTGCATCACATGGGTCCCCACTGGATCCGGAACCAAGGCCAAGTGACGGTTTGAATGGTTCAACCGATCGGGTCAATGGCGGGTTGAAAACATTGGTATCAATTTGGGTCATTTTTCAGTTTGGTTGGTTAGCTCAAAAGATTTAAAGTTAAAAATTTAAATTTAGAAATTAATTTAATTTAAAATAATGATATCATTAAAAAAATATATTTAAAAATGTAAACTTACAATATAAAATATTTTAGACTAAGAAATATGGGAATTTTCTCACTTTACTGTATTAAAAAATTATATTTGAAATATAAAATATATATATATATATATATATGATT